ATTGAGTATCTTCATGTAGGTGTGAGGTAGAGTATATCAGAGGCCGTTTCCTTTCCTTTTCAGATGTGAAGGCCCAGCAGTTTTCCATGAATGTGTTATGCGACGGCGACCTGTCCAAAGTCACCAACTGCATGGAGCATGCTCTAACTGCCAACCACCCTCGCACACGCTATGCCGCTGGATGGGATGCCAAGCTCTTCTGGATCCCCCTCTCCTACATGCCAACGGTTTTCAGCGACTTCCTGCTCAGTCTCCTGTTGCCAAAGCCTTCGCAGAGTGTCCAATAAACAGCTGCACAGGCTGGTCGCCAGAGTGAAATGGACCCTTCAGGTGCACCACTACCCTAGGGGCTGGTTTGCAGGGACCATCACTTCGCTGGGGCGACAATCAAAAGCAGAACGACCCCACCTACTACCCAATCCCCCTCTCTCGATCCCTGGTGGCCATGGGCAGCCAGAGCATTTGCCTGTTTCAGATGCAACCCTCAATCAAATAAAACCCTAAGACATAGGAACAGATCGAAACCAGTCAGCCCATTCAATGAGGTCAGGGCTGAAAATGGGTAGATCTGATTCTTTTGAAATCCTTCTGTGGAAAGGGACCAGCATATTTTTGACCCTCCCTAACTGCCTTCGAGCTGACTGACTTGCTCAGCCATTTCAGAAAGAAGTTGAGAGCAGCTACATTTCTGCGGGTCTGGAGTCACACATCGGCCCCATTGGATAAGGACATGAGTGACCCAGGCAGGTTTTTAACGGTTAATGATTGTGTGAGTAATGGTAAATAGCTTTGAATTATTTTTGTTTGTGATTTGAATTGAAATGCCACCAGCCACTGTGGTGGCATTTGAAGCCATGACCCAGAGCATTAGCCAAAGTCTCTGGATTACTAATCCAGTGTCATAGAGTCATACAGCACAGGAACAGATCCTTTAGTCCAACTCGTCCATGCCGACCAGATATCCTAAATTAATCTCGTCCCATTTGCCAGCATTTGGCACATATCCCTCTAAACCCTTCCTCCTCATGTATCCATCCAGATACCAGCCTCCACCACTTCCTCTGGCAGTTTATTCCATACACGCACCACCCTCTGTGTGAAAAAGTTGCCCCTTCGGTCCCTTTTAAATCTTTCCCCTCTCACCTTAAACCTATGCCCCTCTAGTTTTGGACTCCCCTACTCTGGGGAAAATGACCTTGTCTATTCATCCTCTCCATGCCCCTCATGATTTTATAGACCTCAATAAGGTCACTCCCTCAGCCTCCAACGTTCCAGGGAAAATAGCCTCGGCCTATTCAGCCTCTCCCTGTAGCTCAAACCCTCCAATCCCGGCAACATCCTTATAAATCTTTTCTGAACCCTCCCATGTTTAACATCTTTCATACAGCAGAGAGCCCAGAATTGCACGCAGTATTCCGATAGTGGCCTAACCAATGTCCTGTACAGCTGCAATATGCCCTCCCAACTCCTATACTCAATGCACTGACCAATAAAGGAAAGTGTACCAAATGCCTTCTTCATCGCCCTGTCTACCTGCGACTCCAGTTTCAAGGAACTATGAACCTGCACCCCAAGGTCTCTTTGTTCAGCAACACTCCCCAGGACCTTACCATTAAATGTATAAGTCCTGCCCTGATTTGCCTTTCCAAACTGCAGCACCTCACATTTATCTAAATTAAACTCCATCTGCCACTCCTCGGCCCATTGGCCCATCTGATCAAGGTCCCATTGTACTCTGAGGTAACTTTCTTCACTGTCCACTACACCTGCAATTTTGGTGTCACCTGCAAACTTACTGATCATGCCTCCTACGTCCACATCCAAATCACTTATATAAATGACAAAAAGCAGTGGACCCAGCATCGATCCTTGTGGCACACCACTGGTCACAGGCCTCCAGTCGTTGAGTGAAGAAACTGGGCTGAGCAGAAAATGGTGAAGCAAACTTCAAAGAATCACAGAATTGTTACGGTGCAGAAGCAAGCAAATCCCCTAGTGCCAATCTCCTGCCTTTTCCCCATATCCCTGCACCCCATTTCTATCCCAATAACCATCCTGTGCCCCTCTTGAATGCCTCAATGGAACCTGCCTCCCCCACATTTCCAGGCAGTGCATTCCACACCCTAACTACTCGCTGGGTGAGAACGTTTTTCCTCACATCACCCTCACTTCATCACTTTCAATCCACTCCCCTCTCGTTCTTGTTCCTTTTACATGTGGGAACAGCTTCTCCCTATTTACCCTGTCCAGCTCCCGCTCATAATGTTGAAAACCTCTAACAGATCTCCCTCTCAGCCTTCTTCTCTCCAAGGAGAACAGTCCCGACTTCTTCAATCTATCCTCACGCTGACGTTTCTCATTCCTGGAACCATTCTTGTAAGTCGCTTCTGCACTCTCTCCAATGCGTTCACATCTTTCCCTATAATGTGGGGCCCACAGCTGTACACAATCCTCCAGCTGAGGTCTAATAAGTGTCTTGTACAAGTTCAGCATCACCTCCCTGCTCCTGTACTCTGTGTCCTATTAATGAAGCTGAGGGCACTGTTCTCTCCACCTCTCCTGGCCCCTTCAATGATCTGTGCACAGATACACCCAGCTCCCTCTGTCCCTGCACCCCCTTTAGAATCGTACCCCCTGTTTTATATTGTACAATTTACATGAGTTCATATCACAAACTTGTTTGGAAATAACTGCTAGTTTTCTAGACAGTGCTCTGGGATGAACCGTTGAGATGAGGAAGTGCCCAGGATTGAATCTCTAGGCTGTGGGGAATCGGTCAATAGCACAGGCAGGATAATGAACATCATCAAGCTGGCTTGGGAGGGAGGAAGATAATCTGCCAGGGGGGCCACATATCCAGTCAGCCTGAGCTCGCATCTCAGGATTGCTCAGAAATGCCCACCATCGAATGGGCTGTCAATGCCAACTGTCCAACCTCAGGAAGGAATCATTCTGAAACTGGCAAAGCGCTGGAGGGTGCCCAGCTCCAGACCTATGGGTTATATTTCCCAGGTTGTCATGAATTATTTCAGCTAACAATATTTGAATCAAGGTGGAAATATATAGATGGTGCAATAAATTTTCTAACACTTGTTTAATTTCACATCTCGTTACTTTTTCAACAGAATTACACATAGGTCTATTTCTGTGCTGTAGACAAACTGCTCCATGCCAACATTAGTGTTATACACGCACACACTCACACTCTCTCACGCACTCACTCACTCACACACACACGCACTCTCACACACACGCACTCTCACACACAGACGCACACTGTCACACACAGACACACACGCGCTCACACACACAAGCTCTCTCGCCCACTCACTCTCGCCCACTCACACATGCACGCACACACATACTCACTCACTCACACATGCAC